TAACATTCTTTCCATCGGTAAGTATATGTGTGTGTATATATGTGTACGTGCGCGCATAAATAACAGAGTACATTATATATTTTTATGTATTGTTATTACTGATACTATTACTTATCAATTTCATATAATATTGCCATCTATTTTTCCCTTTATTGTTATATATAGCCCCAGAATATTTATAAAAAGGTTTCTGGAAAAGGACAGAACACACTCTAACATCAGAAGATAATTTATTTGAACGCCAATCTTCAATTGTAACTTCCTTTCCATCGGTGAGTATGTGTGTGTATATATGTGTATGCATGCGATTACGCGTCAATTTGTGCATACATTATATATTTTTATTTATTGTTATTACTGATATTATTACTTGTCAATTTTATATAATATTGTCACCTATTTTTGCCTTCATTGTTATATGTAGCCCCAAAATAGGACAGAACAGACTTTAACAGAAGATAATCTGCTTCCACGTCAATGTCCAATTGTAACATCCACATTATCGTCATCTCATGCATACTCATCCTTTTATTTTTCTCAAGCTAAAAATATTTCTATCTCTGACAAATTTCCCTCTACCACATCTACATATATTTCATCAAATCCACGCTCGTCTACTCAGTTCTCTCCACGTGAAAATACAGTGCAGCTTCCTTCCTCCTTTCCACTTTTAATATCATCAAATTCTGCATCTTCTATCCATTCAAATTCATGCCCAAATAAACGTCAAGCTACGATGCCTTCCTCTCCGCACCGAAATCCGGAACCGACTAAACAGACCAAAAATAAGCGCCTAAAAAGACAAAACACTGCACATGTTTGTGGTAAGAAAATCAAAGGGATTATGGTTTATCTAAAAAATAATGAGAATTACGCATTTAAAGATTTCATTTTAATTTAAGTACAACTGTATTTAAATTAAATTCAAATTTTTAAATAAATTATTCACATTATTTTTGAAGTAAGTCACATCTAAATGAATAAAATAGACACAATAAAAAAATATTTAAAATTTATATTTTCAATATATGTTTTATTGGTATATACTTATAGATATACACAATGGTTTATATTCTGAACTCTCTTTCATATTTCTTCTTTTCTTTCTTTTTTATCGTTAAAAGTGCCTCTAAAAGTGGCTTAGCCAATGAGAAAACTTATAAGCTATTTTTTGAGACGCTTTTTACGATAAAAGAGAGTTTAGAATACGGATCAATATGTATATAACATACATGCAAGATATATTGTCTTGTATAGCATTTTCAATTAACACTGGTTTCGAGAGTGATGAACGATACATGTTTGCTTAATAAATTCTCTCACAGATGAAACAGAGCTTATGACGTCACCTTCTCAAAATCATCCCAACACATGTTACTCGATAAAGCTGTTGTACTATTATTTATATTATATTATATTGTATTATATTGTATTTATATTATATTATATTGTACTATATTATATTTGTGTGTAATGTACTAATATCTGACGATATATATTTATAATGCGTATTCAACTAGATATTTTTATTAATTTAGTATTTAAATATTTCTATTTAAGCTTTGAATATATAGTATGTATACACATATATTGAATATACACATATATGTTGAAAGTTAAAATATTTGTATTTAAGGATGAGTTTCACCAACTCCGGTTATGGTTAAGCGACGGTAAAGTCCATCGGAATTGACCGATCGTATTATCATTAAATAGAATTCAAAAATACTATTGATCAATTTCGGTAGATTTAACCGTCGGTTTATCATAATCGAAGTTGGTGACTCATTCTAAATACATAATTATAAGAATCTCCAGAATTAGATATATGTTAAATACGTGACGAAATACTGATACTTTTATGTTAATAGCTTAGTTATATTCTCTTTTTCAGATGTTGATGTACAAATACTACGTGAAATGCAGACACAAACGGAAACATTAAAAAAGTTAACAAATGCAATTGTGGACATAGCAACTTGTATGAAACATTCATGCAATACAGATTTGGTACGTATAGTAATAATATCACTATTACAATGAAAACAGTTTACTCTTCTTTTTACGATCACTCACATAAAATGTCTTTTTATTGAAATTTGAACATCTTTTTTAAAATTTCAATTGCCTTTTTTAACTGTCATATCTCATTACAATAAGAAACGTCTTCTGTATAATGTTAAACTCATAATATAAGGAATATAAAATCAAATGGACAAATTTATAGAATAATGCGATATTATTTATTGTTTAACAATATTTTTTAAAATATGTATTTTTTCAAATATTATGTATTTTTCAAATATTATGTACATTATACAAATAACATGTACTCTATACAAATGAATTTTATATCAATCGAGCTGCAAGTTCATTGTGCGTTCTCAGTCCTTCGTTAAATATAGCCCTACCTTCTGGTAACGGCTGTACTTCGATATTATCAACGTCATTTTCTAAAACCATGATAGCTTCCTCTGGTTCAGGAGGATCAGGCATATTTGCTCGTATGCGCATATTGTGCAACATTGCGCAGACATTAATTATTTCACCTGCTTTTTCTGGCATATATTCTAACGTACGATAACGTAAGAGACATCGAAATCTTTTTTTCATTACACCAATACAACGCTCTACTGCACTTCGTGCGGTACTATGTCTTATATTGAAACGTTCCTCTCGTGTACCAGGCTGCACTTCGGGATATGGAGTTAAAAACCTAACGGATACCCAGAATCACCTTAAAAAAGAAAAATATTTGTTTTATATATTTTGATTAAGCAATCTTAAACTTTATCTTATGAAACAAAAGAAAATAACAAAATTATATACATAGTTTTGAAACATTGTACAATTTTGTATGAAATAATTTTTAAGCGACCAATTTTGGTAATAATGTAATGCAGATTAATAAACCAAATATCCAATAATGATCGCCATTAGCATATTGCGTTTGGATAAAATGCCTAATATAGCAGTTCCTCCATACAAAGGAATCGTGAGTGGAGCCAGGATACCTCGCCACTTATATGTTCATGATATGCATATCCGCATCGCATATCTGTAAAAATGTTTGTGCTAGAAAATGTATTTCTAAGTTCCTATTTAGACTTCCTATTTAGAAAGTTTCTTTTATTATTAATATTTTTGTACACATTGCGCTAAGTAGAAATATTTACAATTTGTACATGTTGCGCATGATATCCTTTTCGATTAACGTAAAGTCCTTCATGTATGGATGGTGCTTTGATAGCTACATTTGTACCATCTATAAAAACGAATGCAGATTAATAAACCAAATATCCAATAATGATCGCCATTAGCATATTGCGTTTGGATAAAAGGCCTAATATAGCAGTTCCTCCATACAAAGGAATCGTGAGTGGAGCCAGGATACCTCGCCACTATGTTCAGGATATGCATATCCGCATCGCATATCTGTAAAAATGTTTGTGCTAGAAAATGTATTTCTAAGTTCCTATTTAGACTTCCTATTTAGAAAGTTTCTTTTATTATTAATATTTTTGTACACATTGCGCTAAGTAGAAATATTTACAATTTGTACATGTTGCGCATGATATCCTTTTCGATTAACGTAAAGTCCTTCATGTATGGATGGTGCTTTGATAGCTACATTTGTACCATCTATAAAAACGAATGCAGATTAATAAACCAAATATCCAATAATGATCGCCATTAGCATATTGCGTTTGGATAAAAGGCCTAATATAGCAGTTCCTCCATACAAAGGAATCGTGAGTGGAGCCAGGATACCTCGCCACTATGTTCAGGATATGCATATCCGCATCGCATATCTGTAAAAATGTTTGTGCTAGAAAATGTATTTCTAAGTTCCTATTTAGACTTCCTATTTAGAAAGTTTCTAATCTATCAAACCCGGTATTCTACTTTTATTATAATTTCTGGAATAGATATACATAATCTAATTAAAAAAAAAAAAACGGTTTTTTTATTTCTAGACATCACATGCAACTATGGAGAAAGAGAACTACGAAGAAAATGAAGAAGATTACGAAGAATATGAATTCTTAAACGAAGACAATGAATAAAGTATAAATTTATAAAGATATATTTTAACAAAATAATATGTCTGTATTTTTTTCGCATATTGTTCCTAAAATTTGTGATACATTTTAAACAAAGTTTATTAACGTATATAGTTTCAAATGAATATAAAGTTATAAGACTTGTAATAGTATTATTATACCTTTGTATAATGTCTCGTACTTCCTGTGGTGTTGTCGGAAAATGTATATGTTGCCTTAAGAGATGCTGGTTGATGGCACGTGTTATTTGCTGTAAAATTACACTTACCGTACTTTGAGCTATGCTTAATCTACTGTCAACACCAACAGCTTTCTGGTAACTTCCTTGAGCGTAGAAATTCAGAGCACATAATATCTAGATTAATAAATGAAAATTATATTTCAACTCTAAATTATTTCTAAATTATCTGTAAAATAATATGTCCAAATTAATGTCTAAATAAAAAAATTATAAATTTTAAATTGCGTACATCTGAGATTATAAATTAATAGCATAATATAATCAATGATATAAATTAATATCACTACTATTTTAAAAATTTAATTTTGACAACAATTTCATCAAAATATTTACAACTACAAGCAAATATAGACTCTTAGTATTTATTACAAAGTCTAATTGTAAATAGAACAAGAATATATCCAGTCATTTTTAGAAAAATATTATCTTTAAGTTTTTATTTTATTTCATAAAATAAAGACTTATAAACACAAAGATAATATCATTGACTATATATAAATATATATTAGAACTTACATACATATCTATGTACATATTATACTTCTTGTGCAAAATAAAATTAAAATCCCTTTTGTGCCTTTCAATATTATACAGTATATTATAAAACTGTAATGACAATTATCTTAATGTAACTACTACTTAATGTTGTAAGTATTTCACCTACTTTTAGCTCATTTGGAATTCCTATAACTTTTCTCCGTAAAGGAAGATGTGGCTCTAATGCTGCTATAAGAGCTCGCACCATATTTCGAGATAATCGATACAATCCTATAAATTCATTTTCAGGGAGATCAAACGGATCAAGCATGTCTCTGATTCTTCTTCTCATAATTCTGCTTGCACGGATTTCTGCAATGTGTTGCCTTTCTCTCTCGCATCGCAATAATGCTATCTGTAATATTAACAAAAAAATATATAATATATAAATAGATATACTAAATTAAAAAATTATAAAAAATTATTTTTATAATGAAGATACATTCACATACAGAAAAAACATACACATACACAAAAAATTATTTTTTTATATGCTAATTTCTTTTTTGGAATAAAATATTTTTCTAAAAAATGTATAAACAAAAGCCATTTTCATCCAAGAATGAGATAAGATTTTTATTATTTTAACCCATTAGATTGCTCTACTAAGAAGTAATTTTACTAAAAAATTACGATTTTTATTTAAAAACTGTATAAATATATATAAAATTAAAAATATTTTCAATACTTACCATTATATTAATTTTTAATTTAATAAGGTACTTGCAGCAACACTGTCATCACAATATAATAAAATACAATTAATTCTGAGGAGTATTTAATAAAAAGAACAAACGTTAATAATTATGAAGTTCACATAATTTTTATAATATTATTATATATATTATAAATTTACTACCGCTTTACGTAAATGTGTTCATTGCTTATCGTCTATTGGTTTTTATAACTTTATTCCGATCGGAATCGACTTTCCGCTTGCTCGCAAAGTGTCGGTAACTTTCCGATCATTTCGGATATAATTCGAATGTCCATAATATCATAATTGTCGGAAAACGGAATCATTCCGATCGGAAACCTTTCCGAACTGTTTCATAATAGGTCCCCTGGTCTACGATGTAAAGCTTAACAGTGAAGTACGTTGCCAATTATATTTACTTTAGGATAAATGATCGTATATTTATGCGAACAAAAATCTATGGCAGACAACGATACAATTTTTAAAGAAATACTCGCAATTTTATTAGAAAGTGGATAAACGTGTTCATTTGAGCTGAAGTAGTCAAGAATCAGCCAGAGCTTATATACCTGTGTACCTGAATACCTGCATATTCGCCCTTCTTACTCTAACAACTGAATCTTCGGTTCGTAACAACCAACCCTCGGTCATTTTCCAATAGTGAAATTTATGCAAAGAAGATTCGAGAATGATCACGCCTCATACTGAGCTGTAATGACAACGTCTACCGCTGTATAATTGTATGCTAGGTCAAACTAAAGATGTGCGAATCAAAGATTTTTCTTGTTGAATCGAATCGATAAAATTTCACCCGAATCGAATCGTATCGCTAAAAGATTGTTTAATTAGCATAATTATTGAATTCAACATGAAAATAGGGATTTCAGTATGAGAGAGAAAACATTGATCATGTAGTATCAATTTATTTTAAGGTAAGAGATATATAATATATAATCGGTAAACGTATATATGGAATACAGTTTCAGCATTGAAAGCTGCGCAACGACACATATCGATCCGACAATTGTCGATAAGAATTTATCTTAAAGCCATTGTCTTCTTTTAATGTTTGTGAAGAAAATCTTAATGTATAGCAAACTTTTCAAGTCATGCTAATTTCCGTAAAGCTAGATGTCTTTAATAGTACTTCGTTAATGCTAAAGTGCGCAATTCGTATTCGAATCTTTACGATTCGAAATTTTCGAATTATTCGGATTCGAATCATAGGGATTCGATTCGAATTCGAGTAGTTCGCACATCTCCAGTCAAACTGAATAAAAAAATCCTCTACCATTTTCCAAATGACCACGTACACGTTTACTTACTAATTAAAGAAGTTTATGTACTGCGAGGAGTATTCCTCCACTTGCCGCAAAATACCATCCTCCCACGCTC